TCTAGTCATACTTTATTGATCACGTATTTGTGCGAAATTTTAGAAAAAACTTATTGCGCAACTATTGTCATCAATATTGTTTAGTTCCTAAACATATTTCTATTGAAAGTGTTGCAATATTACAGGCTAAAAAATTCAAAGTGCATCGAAAATACTTTCTAGAAAATAATGGTCATTATTCCACAAACTGGTATACTATTCGTTCACAATTTAGATCAGCTATCTATGAAAAAGTGGGCGCGACTTCAAAATAAATCAGACTACTCAGCAGAACATCACTTCCACTTACGACAGTTCATCAGAAATCACACTTTCAAATAGATGATAGTTTCCAATGGACAGTCAACAAAAAAAATGGAACAGAAGTGGATCAGTTCAAGTTGTTAAACTTCACAGTAGCAAACAAAGAAATGGATACAAGAAAGAAAATCAAACTGTATAGAATTGTTGATTAACTGGTAGAATCAACGTAGACTCTCGCACACCATTGCATCAGCTAAGGTGTCACACTTCATAGTAGTAGAAAAAGAACACGTAAATAAAAAAGGATCGATATCAAAGTAAACGAAGTTGAGTGAGAGAACAAGCAGTTTGAAGATAAAGGTAAGCATGACTAGTTAGGTTTCAGAAGACGTCAAACAGTGAATACACCTGCACCAACGTCACTGATCTTCAGCAACATCATAAACAGTCCTCAACCACTCATTCCTTTCGTCTCCAGGACTCCAAACACGAAGTCTACATCTCCCAACACGGCTCACACCAACAGCAAGAGAATTCATCGATTGATGTCGCGTCTTCGTCTCGCCACCCTGAAACCTCTTCCAACCTCCCCTAGCATGGCACATAGACGTAGGCGGTGGCTCGGGATGACCAGCACATGTCCAAGCCATCTCAGTCAGATAAAGCTCACAACTTGATGGCATATCTTGTCTACTACCTCTCACCTGACCTCAACATTACTCACACGGCGTTTCCACCAAACGTGAGCAATATGGTCGAAAAACTGTAACTGTTTCATGTCTTCTACTCTTAACGCATATGTCTCACAGACAACCGTACAACAGGATAGAATGGACTGCACAGCAGTATACTCGTCCTTCGATAGGTAGTCGGATATCTCGCCAGTCAATGACACAGGTTGGCAAATGCAAAACACACCTCTATCCAAGTTGGGATTTCGCAAGTAAACACCTCGTTCCAGCTGATACAACTTCCCATGTAAGTGAAGTGATCATCACATCCCATCACTGCACTCTATATCCTGAAACTGGCAGTCGTTGAAAACCAGTCCTGGAGCATCCTCTTACATTTAACAGGTTCAAGACGCATACCAGCCTAACATACTCAGATTTCTGATCAACGCCTTCACAAGACCCTGCATTTCGTCAGCGTCTTAACCTAGTACGACAATATCGTCCGCATACTCCAAGTCAACCAGATCACTTCCAGGGAGGTCAATCCGTGTGAAGTTAGATGTACTTAAGGTTATGTCTACCAGTACGGCTATGACGAAGCTAAACAGGAACGGCGATGGTGAGCACAATTAGTTGTCGTCAATTCATATGACAACTCTCCGAAAGCTCTTAAATGGCTGAGTGAGTTCGAGTATAAAGCTTTGATAAGCGCTATGTACTTGCTCAGCACTCCCTTCCTAGTCAGACACTGAGACAATGTCTCACGGCTTATCGAGTCGAATAGTACCTTTAGATCAACAAATATGGCAAGTATCGGCCATTGGCCGGTAAGTGTGACTGTTTCAGGACCTATCGGAGGGTGAAAATATGACCGATGCATCCTTATGTAGGTTTTGAAATCTACCTGATTTTCTCGATTTCGCTTTACTTGAGCTCCAATTAGGCGTCGCATAACTATGGACCCTAGCATCTTGGACACAATATTGGTCAAGTTGATTCCCCTACAGTCTTCACGAGATTTCCCTCCCTTCTTATAAACTGGAATGATCAGAGTAGACCAGTCTGATGATACAACCTCTGATTCCCGTACACTACCTAGTGTCTCCGTCACTTATCAGCGATTTCCAACCTCCATCCTTAAAAGCTTCAGGTGGAGAAGTGTTAGGTTCTGCTGCTTTGCATAGCTTCAGTTCCAATATAGCTTTCTCAACTTCAAGGAGAGTTGGTGGGCTGACACCTACATCGCATTCAAGTTGGATGTTGGGCAACTAGAGTTTCTGAGTACCAGTTGAACTGTACTTCCAAGTTTTCTGCCCAACGTTCTAGCCACCTGTTCTGCGAGGCTATCAGCGTCCCTTCCCGGTATTGGTTTCACTAACCATTGTCTTCTTTTTGCGGGTATCCTTAATAAACTTAAATAGTCGCCGAGTGTTTCTCGACGCTTAAACCTGCCCCATCTCTCGCCACCCACCACTGGTCGCCGTCATTAAGGGCTCTTCGTGGCAACCCTCCACTGATTCTCTCTAACGATGGCTTACAGCAATATGGGCTGCCTGTATCCATCTTTTCTTTGAAGTTGGCGGATACCATGTGAGAGCACCTCTCCTTCTGCTTAAAGTTAGTGCTGGCCAGAAACAAGTGATTGTCCGGACAAAATTGTAACAGATGATCACTCTTGTCAGTTCGTTGCCACAGCATTCCTTAGATACCTTTCCGATTAGCTGAACTTCCTTAACTGAGCGTTAAAGTCACCTGCCATCATGACTGCGTTTGAACGTTTTGGTTTCTGTAGCAAAATTGACAGCTTCCCATAGAATTCATCCTTTGCTTTATCCGAACTACAGTCGGTGGGTGCGCAGGCGGAGATTACGAATAGGGATCGCCTAGTTTCACGATCCTCCCTATTTCTTACTGATCCATTCAATCGACCAGCTCACAAAAGGCTGTTGACTGAAAACTAGTCGAGGAGAGCACTTTCTGCTCTACGATTCGATGCTGCGCCGACATCAGTAAGTCCACGAGACCTAGCCATTGAGTATCCGGAACTCTTAAAGTGAATTTTAAAGATTCAATACCATGACCAAGTGAGGTCAACTTAATAACAGCATTCGGGTCCTCCATACGTGTCTCAGAGACATAGCATACAGCCATGGCTAGATTCCAGAGTTCTGACAAGCAATGTTTGCTATCCGATCTGGCACAGAGTTCAGACGTTGAGAGCTCGAACATGAAATCGATGGCGGGCGGGGTCTTATGAGACTAAGAACGAGGTTTCAACAGCTTTGATTGTTGACGATGGTTGCCAAGTGAGAGGGTGGGTAAGGCGTTTAACGTTAGTATCAGGAACCGAAGGCAGAGGAGGATATGTGTGAATGGGTTTTGTGTGCTACTGGAAGCGTACGTGCGGTCGACACATCATGACTGCCCACACCGCGAAGGCTATTTTTTTTCTTAGGGTATCCGAAAGTGAAAAAGATATGTGTGACCGCAGAGCCCAGAGGACGTCTGCTTGAGCTCGGTCACGTACGGCTTTTTTGATGCCACGAAAACTGACCTGTAGTATGGGAGATGTAGTTGGATATACGTCCTGTGCTTTCGGATAACAACCAACCACTGGTAACTGATCTAACTCACCATAATGAGTCATTTTATTGTTTTGGAAAATGTTGGGAATAACTGCTTTCTGTCTAACCACTATCCGACAGACACTACTGGTATGGTAGGACCTCGAGGGTACACGCATTCCACCAGTATCGCTGGTTGGGTGATCGTGATATACAAGCCCGACCATCATATCAAGGTAGCATAAGTGCATAAAGTAAAACGTAATAAGAACGTTAATTAGTTTTCACGACTTTGAAAATGACTGTGAATACATCTGCGCCATTGTGACCACCAATTTTGAGGTATATCACTACGGTTCTTATCGTCCTGACAACCTCAGCCAAACCAGGAGAAACTTCCCTACTCGACTAAAACCAACAGTCACATACTTCATGAACTAGTGCCAAGTATTGATCTAGCCACTTTTTCCGATGAGAACCTTGTTGATGGTAAGTGACTGAAGAATTACATGGTTGTGAAAAGTGTGAATTTAGGAAATGCACGTTGTATACGACTTGTAAACAGATCATCCATTTGTAGCATATTTTATTTTAAAATTTATCCACTTTACAGCAATAAAACTAAATTCAAGTTCTGTAAGTTCTATTGGAAGCATCATAACCTCAAAGACTCCTGGTTCTGAACTCCGAAACTAATGCAGTAGGCCCGAATCAATTCATAATGTGGCGCACCTCATCCAGTGTTAAAACAGTGAGTGCTGTTATTATGGAGCAACTACTGAATATCGGTAGGCACACATTTTCAGAAGCATTGCATCACCTGTTTCAAGTACAGTAACAGTCAATTCGCTATCCTCCTTTGAGTTATTAGGTTTTAACAAGCATTTTGTTGGAGAGCTATTCTTTCATTGAGCGACTGGCATCAACTGCAACGTACACAGTTGGTGGGGTTCATATCGGACAACTAGTCTAGGTGCCAGAGTTAGCGAAAAATAGGACTCCATCGTAAAGATAAATCTTAACGATAGGGTCACGACGAATTTATTATTACGGCGAAAATATATTAACAAACCTGTGCATATGAACATTGATTTTTAGCCTATCCTGACTGTAAGACGAAAGTTGGAGATTCAAAAGCAATGATTCTATTCACTTGTACGAGTCCTATCGAAATTATTTTCAAAAAGTTGATGTTCGCTTTCAAAAATTCTAGCACAGAAAATGCACTAAACAATCATCTTAGACAAAAGTGTCTGCGGCAGTTGATAAGGCCTAATAATGCAATGAAGAAAGTGATCCAATATATTAGCTACTGCTAAATATCACCACCCCCATCATAAATTTTACGCAGTGTTAGAGACTCGGACCGGTTCTACGAAGGGAAAAAATTGCTTTGCATCTGAAAAATCACCAATAATTCCCACTGTAATTATAAGCACAAGAAATACCTACCGATATTCGGTTACGCCTCAAACGGAAACTAGGCTACAACATCATGACATTTTAAAACCATAAAAAATTGATTCAGTTCAATTCTGATATTATTAGTATATTAACGTATACAGTTATATAAAGCACAAATTCCCAAAATAGGATAATGTTAAGTTTTACTGTAAATTGTATCAGATTACTTGAAACTGACAAGTCACTGGATAAATTTATGTACAAATTAAACCTTCAAATTGTTATAAAGATGTCGTTCACTGGAAGAAAATTTATCACCGTCTTGTATCAGGAGTTGGATAATACTCTCGTGGACTAGGAGATGGTGAACCTGGTCGCGGAGTGGTCATAAAATAGTGTGATGAAGGAGTATGAAAAGTTGATGGGCTGTATGCAGAAGTTCCAAGAGTGGAGCCTGAGAAACCAGTTGCTGAATAACCCAACAAACTTGAAGATCCCAAGCCAGTACCGGTACTGACACCATGAGAATAGGATAGTTTGGAGTAGTGGGATAAGAAAGTGGAGAATTACTTGGACCACCCAAAGTACCACTTGGAGCACCACCAGGAGAACTGGGCGTAGTCATTTGCGGAGAATAGCTCTCTACTGAAGAACCGCCTGTTAATGTTGGAGGACTGTAGCGAGGAGCAGAGGGGGAGGCATTGAATGATAATGGTGAAGCAGGTTGACTGTTGGGATAGAAAGATGGTCTGCTCCCACTTAAACTACTGGCACTCATACCAGGTGAAGGCGAACTAGGTGAAACTCCAGGAGTTTCTGACCCAGGCAAAACACCCCAGCTGCTGAAATCCCGACTCATTGAACTGCCACCACCTGTGGGCATTGGGCTGTTGGGACTGTAAGAGTAATTTATACTGTCTGGAGAATCACTGGATGGACCAAGTGAACCACTAGATATCATTCCATATCCTGAAAAACTGGGATGATGTGGAGAACGCTGGGTGTACCCAACAGACATAGGCTCATAGGACTGTTGCAAAGAAAAGGTTGGTGAATTGCTGTCTCCACTAGCACTGAAACTTGAACTGCTACCTGTTCCAGCATAAGATGGTTTATGTATAGGTGAAAATATATCAGCGCGAAGACTCGCTGGACCTCCATATCCAAAAGAACCACTACTAAGACTTCCTGAATGACCTGGGCTAGAACCTGGCGAACCCAGTTCAGTTTGTGGAGTACCCATAAAAGACATCGGACTGCTAAAGCCAACATATGCAGCAGGTGAAAACGCTTCAGGAGTACGAGGGCTATCTAACTGAGGACTACGACCAGGAGATAATGAAGAATCGTAACGCATGGCAGGAGAGAACATAGCATTATGAGGAGCAGTTGCACCTCCAAGGCCACCCCGATAAGTTGGAGAAGAATCAACAGATCCTACTGGGGAATGAGCATTATCCCACGGTGTATGATAACCACTGTCTCCAAGCACAGGTATACCATCTGCATTCATGGTTAGCCCCAATCCAGGAGATGCAATTGCAGTAATACCCTCAAAGCCTGGTGCATTGAATAAACCCATTCCAAGAACACCACCAAGGGGTATAGGTTGTGCTTCTTGACATTTAGCTGAGTCTAGAAGCAAATCGAAACATCCTGTACCAATTCTTGCTAGCTGACCCAACATAATTGTTTCTGAGACACCAGTCATAGGATCACACTCGGAATGGACAGCAGCTTCCATAAGTATATCAACTGTTTCTTCAAAGCTGCAACGAGCTAAAGCACCCGTATCTAAACGATTCAGTCCATGTCGGGTAATAGCCATAAGGTGCCCTTTGACAGTCATAATATCACACAACAAAGCAAGATGACGATAATTGACATATGAACCATCAAAAGAAATTACATGATGCATTTCACACTCAATTGCTTTTCGGACAGCTTCGATTCCAAGAGCTTCGAAAATCTCCACAATATCATTGCTAACAGTACGTACAGGGTCTACATCTCGTTCAGCAAGGACTCTCATTAAGCATGTACCATCAGTTTCCAACATCCACTCCGCAACAGCATCAAAACTTCCATCATCCTTGATTACCACGCGTTTCTTATCTTGTGTCTTAGGTAGATGCATGTACACTTTTGTAATTTGCGGTATTCCTTGTAGAGTGATATCAGTAAGTAGATTTGCTTCAATAAAACGAAGGAAAGTATCGTCTTCCATTTTATCAGAAGTGGTATCAGCATCCTTGAAGTCTTTTTCCAGATCGCTATTCATTATACGGATTCTCATGACCAGTTTTAGATTATCGTCTGGTATATGACATATAAGATCATTTCCAAAAGCTCGAGTTATCTTATCTGCGATTTGCTCCATTGATAATTTTTTACCGGTCATACCTTTTCTGGCGAATTCAATACGAAGCATCCAAGAACTTATTGCATTAACATCGAAGTCAGGTAATTCATAATAGGTGGACACCCACTCTCTATCTTCTTCAACAACACTATTCTGGGGATCTGGATCATAGTATATATAAGTGCTGTTAACCAGTTTACGTAAAGTAGTATGCTCCAGTCGTGCCACAACATCTTTCGTTCGTTCAGCATCTCTAGCAGCTTGACCAGTGAGAAAGATAGTCATAGATGGAGTTTTGGGTCGTTTGCTAACGTTTATTATTTCCTTTAAACGAGGGACACCAAGAGTAACGTTTTTAGCAGACACACCAGCGTAGTGGAAAGTATTCAGTGTCATCTGAGTAGCTGGTTCTCCAAGAGACTGAGCCGCTAGTGCACCAACCATCTCACCAGGATGAATATGGGCTTGTTGAAAACGAGCTCGTACCTCACCCAACACCCAGTCTAAAGCTTCATAACTGAGGCGGTAGTCAATGATCACTTTCTTTGCACACAAAGATGCCCTAACTAGTGAACTTAACAGAAGAGTGGCATTAGCATTGGCTTCCTTGCTCAGTCGATCATCACCCGCAACAACTATCAGACGTCTACAAGTTTCTCGGACCATCTCAACTACCTGTCTGGGATGAATATTTGTTTTCGAAAGAGGATCTATTTCAAATATTTTCTGAGCATTCATCACAAGTCGATTAATATTACACGGTAAGACCACAGAATCGTCAGTCTTTTTGATGACAGATCGAAGTATTTCCCTATCAGCACACAACTGTAACCATTCTGAATCCAATTCTGACTGTGTCTGTGAATCTGTAGCTAAACTTCGAACTACATCCTCCGGCATGCATCGTCGCAGAACTCGTTCATTTGCAATATCAAAGCGAAAGCCATGCTCAAAAACGGCATTCGACGGTTTAAATGTTGGAAGACGTTGAAACTCCACATGTGTTGCATCTAAACCATCTTCCCCATATCTAAGCTGAATCAACTGATTAATTTGATTCCGTACAGTACCATCATATTTCACCATAACTGATTCCATAGCTTTAATCAAACGACGTTGAATATAACCAGTTTCGGCAGTCTTCACAGCTGTATCTATTAAACCTTCTCGACCACCCATTGCATGAAAGAAAAATTCGGTAGGTGTCAGTCCTGCAAGATAGGAATTTTCAACGAACCCACGAGACTCAGGACCATAATCATCTTGAATAAAATGCGGTAAAGTACGATGACGAAAACCAAATGGAATTCTCTTACCCTCAACGTTTTGTTGGCCCACACAAGCGATGACCTGGGAAATGTTAATTCGGGAACCTTTAGAACCAGCAACAACCATAATATTGAAATTATTGTACTTAGATAAGGAACGTTGAGCACAACTTCCAGTTTTGTCACGGGCATCATTCAGAATTTTGTTGACGCTGTTTTCGAAAGTCTGCCGAAGTGTGTTGCCTGGTGTAGGCTGTAAGTCGTAATTATGAGCCTGATCAATAATTTCGAACACGGCATCTTTCGCTTTTGTGATAGTACCACTAATCTGTCGACGCGTCGCTTGGTCATACAATGTGTCAGCAATACCAATAGTGTGTCCTTCAATCAAAAGCCAATTATTAACCACTGTTTGGATATTATTGAAGAACATATTTACTTGGTCGTGATGATGTTCCAATGCAACGATATGAATCAACGAGCCTGCACCAGAACCAAGTGTTTTTTTACATAAAATACCAGCGATTAAATCCCCATCATCAATGATAACTTTGGTATCTCCTGGAGATATCCATTTAAAAGGACCAATATCTTCTTCTTCTGGATGAGTACTGTGTGTACGAATACAATTGACTCGACCAGGTATAACAAGACTAAACAATTGCTTCCCAGTCCACAAACGTTGAGGTTTGTAAATTGCTGGCTTAGGCATACGACCATTCCAGGTTGGTAAATACATCAGTAGATTCATCATCTCAGATCTATTTAAGAAGACATCACGTTGAGTCATTTTATTGACAGCGGTTAACGTATCTTGGACAATGCCCATTACTGGTTTATTAGCTTGGGGTGTAATTACTAAACGTGAGACACGAGCCAACTGACTTATTTCTGCTTTGGTTTCGACGGACTGTGGGAGATGTAAATTCATTTCATCACCATCAAAATCAGCGTTGTATGGTGAAGTGACGGATAGATTTAGACGAAATGTGGACCAGGGTAATACCTTGACACGATGACACATCATAGACATTTTATGCAGTGTCGGTTGACGATTGAAAATAACAAAGTCATCATTTAGCATATGGCGCTCAACAATGTAACCAACCTGAAGTGTAAGGTCTGATACTTTAGGATGATAACGCAAATCAATACGATCTCCATTTTCACGTACAATAAATTTAGCTCCGGGATAAAGAGTTCCATTCTGTACTAATTTCTGTAGATGGTCTATGTTAAACTGAGTAACCATTTCGGGATAAGTTAGATTTTGAGCTATAGTTCTTGGAACACCAACTTGATCCAAGTTGAGATTTGGATCGGCAGTGATGACAGTACGAGCAGAAAAGTCAACACGTTTTCCCATAAGATTACCTCGAATACGACCAGCTTTACCTTTCAGACGTTGTTTGATAGACTTAAGAGGACGGCCAGATTTCTGAATTGCCTTGGGGAGACCAGGAACATCATTATCAACCATTGTCGTAACATGAAACTGTAGCATTTTAACATCTTCAACGATTATGTGGGCTGCAGCACCATTCTGTTCGTCTCGGCGAAGCTGATTATTTGCCTTTATTATATCAGCAAGCTTATGCGTCAAATCGTCTTGATTACGGGTAGCACCATACATTACAACAGCAGGACGAACACATAACGGAGGAACTGGTAAGACAGTTGTTATCATCCAGTCGGGTCGTGCATAACGGGGGTCAAACCCTATTGACAAACAATCTTCATCTGATATACGTTTGAAAACTTCTAAAACACGTTCAGCAGTCAGTACTATTTTGCGTTCCTGTGACTCTTCATTCACTTTTTTCCACTCAGCAGTAAGCTCTAGTCCATTACGACGGAAGCGAGGTTGGTAGCGACCACAACCAGAACGTTTTACCTGCAAATAAGAAAACAATATTAAGACGTTCACCAATATCTAGCTGTTCTAACTGATAAGCATGATTAAAATTAGGAGAGAAAGCCTTTAATATACTATCAACAGCTGTCAAATGAAACTTATCGGATAATCAACTAAGGAAGTTATTCCACGGGTGATGTCAATGGAAGCATAGGTATGATACCGTGATGTACGACAGATACCGCAAAAGCTGGACAGTTTCGCCTGATTTATTTTTTTTCTCAATCTCTTTCAGATAGACATAAGATAAGGATGCATAAAATTTGACCCAACTATAACGGTCATGACACTTCCAAACCTGGAAAATGTGACTTACCTAATAGATACGACTAAATTGCCATTAATTTATCACCATGCAATAGGAACGTTTGCTCTTAATTAAAACACCTCGGACAAACAGACAAAATCAACATAGACTCTCGCACACCATTGCATCAGCTAAGGTGTCACACTTCATAGTAGTAGAAAAAGAACACGTAAATAAAAAAGGATCGATATCAAAGTAAACGAAGTTGAGTGAGAGAACAAGCAGTTTGAAGATAAAGGTAAGCATGACTAGTTAGGTTTCAGAAGACGTCAAACAGTGAATACACCTGCACCAACGTCACTGATCTTCAGCAACATCATAAACAGTCCTCAACCACTCATTCCTTTCGTCTCCAGGACTCCAAACACGAAGTCTACATCTCCCAACACGGCTCACACCAACAGCAAGAGAATTCATCGATTGATGTCGCGTCTTCGTCTCGCCACCCTGAAACCTCTTCCAACCTCCCCTAGCATGGCACATAGACGTAGGCGGTGGCTCGGGATGACCAGCACATGTCCAAGCCATCTCAGTCAGATAAAGCTCACAACTTGATGGCATATCTTGTCTACTACCTCTCACCTGACCTCAACATTACTCACACGGCGTTTCCACCAAACGTGAGCAATATGGTCGAAAAACTGTAACTGTTTCATGTCTTCTACTCTTAACGCATATGTCTCACAGACAACCGTACAACAGGATAGAATGGACTGCACAGCAGTATACTCGTCCTTCGATAGGTAGTCGGATATCTCGCCAGTCAATGACACAGGTTGGCAAATGCAAAACACACCTCTATCCAAGTTGGGATTTCGCAAGTAAACACCTCGTTCCAGCTGATACAACTTCCCATGTAAGTGAAGTGATCATCACATCCCATCACTGCACTCTATATCCTGAAACTGGCAGTCGTTGAAAACCAGTCCTGGAGCATCCTCTTACATTTAACAGGTTCAAGACGCATACCAGCCTAACATACTCAGATTTCTGATCAACGCCTTCACAAGACCCTGCATTTCGTCAGCGTCTTAACCTAGTACGACAATATCGTCCGCATACTCCAAGTCAACCAGATCACTTCCAGGGAGGTCAATCCGTGTGAAGTTAGATGTACTTAAGGTTATGTCTACCAGTACGGCTATGACGAAGCTAAACAGGAACGGCGATGGTGAGCACAATTAGTTGTCGTCAATTCATATGACAACTCTCCATAAACCCTTATAAGGCTGATATAATGCTCACATCCAATGCAAAACATACTCGTTGCTTGTTAGGAATCAAGCACTACCTAATACTTCAGCACACGGTTACTATGCATATATAAATTTCTGATACTAATGTTTCCTGCTGATTACCCCTAACCAAATAAAATGAAGCGAAGAACACTTGGTAAACAGCTTGGTAAATAGACTCTAAACTTAGTAGGTGGAAACAAGTCAGCTTATTGGACTAGACAATATGACATTAGTTACCCTATGATGATCAAACAATGCACGTAGTTATATTACATCAACTTTATTCGATGATATTACGTGTTTAGATGAACAAAGTCTACATTTTTTGTGTGTTGATAAGCATTAAATATCATATTATTCTTATCTTCGAAAACGTTTGCAATAAAAATGCCAATAAGGTTACCTTATTCATTTTGTATGCAATTAATTTGAATGGACATCGAATACAGAACAAAACTAGCAACTGGTTTGCATAATAGTACCATTTCCTCATGCTTATCAGGTTTCGTATGACGATTTCTTAAAATTTAATTGACAAATACTTTCATTTACCAGCAACCTTTGATTAGAAAGTTTAGTAGTTACTTACAGTTAACATCGTTTACTTCAAACGTGTAATAAGTTGATGAGCCAGCAATAAAGTTTACATCATTTGTCGATTCAGCGTATCATTTAATACAGACTTTTTAAGATTAGGATGTTTTCAACAGTATTAGCATCAGAAATTATCGTCACAATCGTTCAAAATCTGATCAACACATTATATGTACCTAGAGGGTGTAACTCAGGCTAGTGGGAAATAAAGAAACAACCAATCCTAGTAAGAAGTAATAATAACAGTAATAATGAGAATTTGTTACCTTTTATTACACAGAAGCAATCGACTTTAAGGCACTAAATACATACATTTAGATAGCTTTTTTTAAGGATTAAACCTAGTTACTATGTGATGGATAACATGTAAAAACAACATGGAGTTGCACAATACAGTAAGTGGACAGTTCTGAAATCTGAGTTTAAGTCGAACAGTGGACGCATCATTGATCACAACTTACAGAAGCATCAAGGTTTTTTCCAGATACCATAAGCTTATGTAATTTCACATTAACCGTGCTACTTAAGATTATTTCACAGGTGATTAGTAAACCAATAAAAGGAAAAAACAGTATTCACACACGTACTGGTGCAACGATTTGAGTATTATTCTATTCCTCAGATATGCTTTATATAAAAGTATAGTTTAAATTCGATACAGCCTTGAAATTTGCCACTGAGAGTACTCAACTTCCACCACTTTGTATGCTAGTGATATGTATCTTAAAATGTAGGTAACTAAATGAGCATTGGTAAAGCTAATGATGAAAACAAGCAAAAACTGGCTTTAAAAAAATAAATGAAATCACGTGAAACCCACCTTATTGCTAAGAGTGACATCATTGTCGTTTTGAACCTGATCATCACTAGATATACATTCAGTGCGTGTTTTGCACTCCTCATACATGAAAGCCATTCTTCGTCTATTATCACCCTTTGTTTTGCGCAGTATTTCTTGAACTTTTGATGACTGCACGTCCACCAGGAGTCTTGAACAGTAGAAGCAGACACATCGTAAAACCTTCAAAGTTTTTTTGAGGAACCCAATATGAAAGACAGGTTTTGCAAGCTCCACGTGCCCGAAATGTCCTGGACAAGATGACACATTGCCACTGCATGTTTGACAAATAGAGCTTCGATCTACACACCCCTGACGAGGATCCATTAACCCCCCAAGCTTGGGTTTTCCCCCTTCCATTGTCTCAGCATATTTGATTCCACCATCTGTAGTGACAGACAATTCTTTCTGCGAAAAGTTAGCAATATGTTTGAGAACATAAAATACATTTAAAGAAAAACACTTGTTAGGAGTGTACGGCTAATACTAAGATTGATTATTTATGCGACTGACTGCCTTTGTAAACGAGGTGGCGCAATATGCATCAAATCAAGTCAAATTTCGAAATAATAAGGATGAAGGCTAAGAAAAGCAGAGATTAAAAAGTATCACAAACAGTTAGGTGTTCAACTCTTCACATGCAACTTATCACCCGAGGTCCCGAAATTCGTATATTTTCAATCGTAAACTCCCTCACCAAGCATATGTGTATTCAAGCACAAGGAAGTGAGCCACACCTATTGTTTGACTGCTAATGGTACTTACTTGACTATCCAAACCTTGGTCAATGGAGTAGGTCTCGAACCCCTGACTCACAGGCATTTAGATGGCTCTGTATGTTGTCAGCATCATATAACAATATATCATTTGTATTTATGCTAAATTTGACCAGAAAGCCTCTGTAAAACATGTCGACTGAGGTTAAGTGAAGATAGACATTCCTAAAAATATTGCTTGGCAAGATGAACTCAGAGGACGGTTAATTAAAGGCTTACACAACAGTAGAAGTGTGAGCGGGAAAATTTCGGAAATGAGATGAGCCTTTTCATAACTTCGTTGAGATATTACCAAATGACTTGTCAGTCAATACAATAAAATGCCAACTTGATATAATAAATTATTAGAACTGAAGCTTGTGTTTATATTCAAGAATCCAAAGATAATAAGAATGTAGTAAAACATCCTTTTATAAGCTTGAAAATTACGGCAGATTTTTCACCATAATGGTTTGCTGAATTTGCTGGATCAATTATTGAACTCTTATCAGCTAAGATCGAAGATTAAGATTAATTTCAGGGAATTAGGTGTGAATTCTATGCACCGACTTATACCCTAATGAAACTAGTAATTTATTATTTCAATTCAGCGACCACTTGCAGGTTCGTGCACAACGCAATGAGCCACGCTTATCGTCTAAGGGTTATTGATACTATTTAGCTGTCCACATAACCTTTGACCCACTAGTTTGAAATCTAGACTAGTGAACTGAAACAATTCCAACAATCAAACCAGTGATATTCAGACAGAACGGACTGCACAGCAGTATACTCGTCCTTCGATAGGTAGTCGGATATCTCGCCAGTCAATGACACAGGTTGGCAAATGCAAAACACACCTCTATCCAAGTTGGGATTTCGCAAGTAAACACCTCGTTCCAGCTGATACAACTTCCCATGTAAGTGAAGTGATCATCACATCCCATCACTGCACTCTATATCCTGAAACTGGCAGTCGTTGAAAACCAGTCCTGGAGCATCCTCTTACATTTAACAGGTTCAAGACGCATACCAGCCTAACATACTCAGATTTCTGATCAACGCCTTCACAAGACCCTGCATTTCGTCAGCGTCTTAACCTAGTACGACAATATCGTCCGCATACTCCAAGTCAACCAGATCACTTTCAGGGAGGTCAATCCGTGTGAAGTTAGATGTACTTAAGGTTATGTCTACCAGTACGGCTATGACGAAGTTAAATAGGAACGGTGACAGTGGGTATACCTTGTGGACACTACTAGTCGTTATGAATTCACATTACAACTCTCCGGAAGCCCTTGCACGGTTGTGTGAGTTCGAGTATAAAGCTTTGATAAGCTCAGTACTCCCTTCCTAGTCAGACACTGAGACAATGTCTCACGGCTGATCGAGTCGAATAGTACCTTCAGACCAACAAATATGGCAAGTATCGGCCATTGGCCGGTAAGTGTGACTGTTTCAGGACCTATCGGGGGATGAAAATATGACCGATGCACCCTCGTCTTGATCTGAAACCTACCTAGTTTCCTCGAATTCGCCCTTCTTGATCTCTAGTTAGGCGTCGGATAACCAAGGAACCTAGCATCTTGGACACGATACCAGTCAAAATAATTCTATTGTGGTTGTGGCTCAGTGGTCCCAGAAGGTGACTAACAGTCATTGAGTCAAGGGTTCGAGCCCCGCCTCACCTAACGAAGTTTGAGAAGCCGCGTAGTATCATTAGCGCTTACATTGGGTGTAGCTTATTGCCTACTGCACGAATGTACGCAAAGTGGCTGAGTTTTAGTTCCTTTTCAGTGTAACTGGAAGACCTCTCTCCCTTGATATAGACAGGAATGATCAAGGAAGTAGACCAGTGTGACGGCACTACCTCTGATTCGCATACACTACGTAGTACTTCTGTCAATCTATTCACTAACTTCCTACCTCCATCCTTAAAAACGTCGGGTGGCAAACTGTCACGTCCTGCTACTTTTCATAGTTTTAAGTTTCTCAACTTTAAGGAGAGTTGAAGGGCCTACATCTACGTCCCACTCAGTTTCAGAAAAGTAACACATTCGAACAAATATTTAGATTTTAGTTTATAATAACCTATTAGTGCGAAGATCTTCGTTACCCCCAGGCTATTAGGAAAAGCACACACTAACAACTTCCGTGAAATCAAAGTGAGAAAAAACCCATGGGCTCTCACCCGACCCCCTCAGAAATTCAGTACAGTTGGGAAAGCCTCCAAAAACACTCCAGTCATAGCTCTACAAGCTATCATTTTCACGTCATAAAGTCAACTGTGATTGAACGAAAACTAGCTAGAAAGACCTCAGAAATTATAAACAGCGTCTTATAATGGGACATCACAGGGTGGAATCAAAAATATCCAATTAGAAGTGAAGAGGTAAAACAGCTTGACCTTGTTTCAACACATACTGACACTAAAACGTGAGATAAAAACTATAAGTACATGTGCACATAGAAATCTTAATCTGTAATTTACACACACCATTCTAAAGATAGTCATCTTCGTCAACAACTTGACAACGCAGAATCATCCACCCGGAAGTTATTACCACTAAATAGCGAAACCTAGGTTAAGACAACTTCGTTTTGTTTTACATTCGCAGGCAAATACTCATACCTAAATAATGAATACGGTTTATCCAATGCTTCGTGCTTTTAAAACCAGCAAATGCTGACTTGGTTCGGGTATCTATAAATTAGACTAATTCGGTTTAGCAGCTGATCATTTCTTGTCTCGCCATCGAATTGAGATTTGACATTTCCAGTCATAGCTGTAAGCGGTTTCTCTTTACGAACGGAGGTTGGTGCTTGCTGACAAAAATACCTAACACTGAACACTTGCATGTTGCTTGATGCAAACTAGTGACAAAGCCATGGATAACGACTGAGGAATTTTGAGGATAAGGACTACACTTTGAAGCGTTGACAGAAACTGAAACGAACGCGGGTTTAGGTGTTAAAGTAATATAAGCATGGTGGTAACATCCTAGGGCTAAACCTCTTGATACATCTGATTTGGATCAGTTCAATAGGCAAGAGAACCAAGAAAATAGCGGTAGTAGGATAAGGACGACCTCTAAATTTACAAACCTGTTTCCCCCTCTCTCTATCCACATATAAGTAAGTACATTTATGCAGTTGATTTGGCTGAACACTAAAGGAACGTGATTAAAAGATATTTTCCGCAACGCTAGTCATCTGTATTTGCTTGACGAAGGCCCTAGCTTATCAAAATGGTTCTTGTCATGATGAAACCCAACCGCAAACTGCCAAACTTGTTTTTGATAGATAGAGTAACTTAGAAACCAGCACACAAAGAGAAAGTTGGTGGAAATAAACTGAACTACTTATATCCCCTAGATATCCATGAGATTGATCACACACTGTTTTCGGAAATTTTTACATGTGGTATGCTTATATAATCGTTTAATTCACTCTTTTGCAAGTGTTTTGTTTACCCACCCTGTCTCCTATCACTAATAGGTTCACGAACTGCGGGGAAAAGTCTACTTTGTGGTCAACCGACTATATACAAACATTGTACTGACCCGAAAGAAAACAAAGTTCGAATACTACATAAACTTAATTGCCAGAATTACTTTGTATGCTTCAGGTGAAACTATCCGTTTTTTATTCTTTGGGCATATGAGACCTAATTCAAATGTATGGATACAAAAACTGTGCGGCACCAGCACCGATTAACTGAGATTCAAAACGTGAAATCAAACAAGCAGCTGTGAAGAAACTTATAGTTGGCCCTTGTGATCGATCCCTCAGCTCTTGTAGTAATCGCAGAACAATAAAATGGCAGTCGTAGGTGTTTCAAACGCACCCCGTTTTCGGAACCATGCTTTTCACCACTTTGTTGAGCGCTATCAAAATTCGTGAACCAAATGAAGTGGGAAATAGCCCTAGTAGCTCACATGCCATCGCGAAGCGACGCCATTTCAGACGTTGGGGGTTTGTTTTGTTCAGTTCACCTCACTAGCACAAGATTTCTTAGAATTAACTACATTACGACCAATTTGTAAGTTTTAATTTTACGTCTGTGTGGGAATCCAGTAGAATCACATCTGGAAATGGAAATGTATGCCATGTCTAGAGGCATTATAGGAAAATAGGGAACAGTGCTTGACTACTTCATCTTAAGTATTTTTTTATACTGAGCGAAAATTAATGCCAGCCTTGTCTGGTAGCTGGTCAACACAAGGTTTATGTAGGAAACGTCTTAGAGTGCTTGAATTAGAGTCAACCAACAAGAAATTCAAGACACAAACATATTTAAGCAGACACTTACAATCTCATCTGGGCTTAGAATGCCAAACTGAAGCGCTCGAACCTCTCTCAATGGCGGTGCACCACCGACTATAGGAGGCATCAGTAACTATGACCTAAACTGTTAAATGGCCAGTTAAGCCAAAGGAGTTTATTTAAACAAATAAGGTGTTTCAATATCCGAACACTCTACACACTTTTGAAGATATATTCTAAAAAGCCTAGGAATACAGCATTAGAAGCTCGAGCCACTTTGGATTTTTGGCGTTTCTAGTCGCGGAGAACTGTCTTCTGTCTTCGAATCGCAATCCTTTATGATGGTGTTATGAGTATTGGTTGACAGAATAAGCAAACGGTCCTCTATAGACATTTCGCAATAATTAGCTGAATTTTGATCTACGATCTTTCTTGATTAGAATCAGGTACGTTCACCACACCACATTTTTCTCTGAGGTCTAGACATGAACTGAACCAAAGTAGTATCTATTATATGCATTTAGGTGAAAATGATCATAATAATAATATATTTGCTTTATTCCTCACCACAGTTATGTGTAAACTACAGCTTGCTCGTAGTGCAACATTTTTAAGACAACAGTGGTTGTTTGATAACACATAATAAAGAATCACGAATAACAGGACTATTGAATTGTTCGATGACTTCAGGAACATGATAAAAACTTAACTATAGGCATGGCAACTATTTTCTCTTGTGCATCTGACTGACAAGACTGTGTCTGGAAAGATTCTCTTCACACAATACACAAGCTTCATAAGGTGGTGTGGTTGAGTTTGTGCATGTGGTTGTGCGTGCATAGAGTTTAATATATTTGCTTCTTGTCTTCCCGACGACAGATATGGAGAGAAGTGCGGATGCAGGGCATGCTTGTCATCAGACAATATATTATTAGCTAGTAGTTCGTAAGAGTTCAGTTGCCGATTCATGGCCGCATTTATCAGCTCGGTTAGGGGTGTGCTACTTGCTCTACTAACAGTCTTCAAACTCGTACGCAATACAACGTAAACCTTTTTCCGGAGTCCATGAAAGAATTAGGGGGAACATAAAGTTGATACGTGTAAAACAGGAGTTGATGTAACCTATGTGTAGAGGCTGAGTTATACCAAACAGTCTGAGTTTCCTAATATGAAAGCTGAACCGGAGGATTTTCCCAGAAATCAGTTAGATATGAGGGGACCAATAAAGATCAGAAGGAAAGCATAAGCCAAGTTGGATCACGCTTGTTACATTGTCTATGACAGCGTCATCTACATGATAACAATCATAAGACTGAAGCAATCTGCAAAGCTCTTTTCACGTCTTAAGCTAAAATCGGCTATATGGCATTTGGAGGGACTGGACGTGAGGCTATTTCCTTTAAGAAGTTATCAAACTGAGAGTGATCTGAAGGGGAGATAATCGGTATAGATACTGTCAGGTCATCAGAATGCCTAACAAATCTAGCTTTAGTTGAGTCCGGTAAGTAGTGCAAAAAGAGGGAGGAAAGGAAAACAGAAAGAATAGCACTCTGAGGCATACCCGTGACCGCTAGGCGGCGAAATGGAGCGCTTCCTTTTGTACAGGGAGTACTGTCCCCTCTCAAAAGGACAGGAATCGAGCCAGTTTAAAATCTAGGACTCAATGTAAGTGCTGGCTAGCTTGTTTAATGGAAGAGGTCTGGGGATAGAGTCAGAGGCAGAAGTACAATCTAAGAAGGCAGATCCAACATACACAGCACCTTTGTCCAGACTGGCAATACTACTATGATGTGAAACAACTGCAGGATACAAGGTACTCCTCCTGGGTTTGCGGGCGAATTGACCTGGATCTCCGAAGGTCTATGAAGAAGGTTCAGGCGCACGAAGCAAGTTTTTTTCTTATTCTTAGGAAAGGCAAAGTAACTGCGATGGGCCGAAATTTCACCTTAGCTCCGGATGTTCACCTAGGTAAGAAACTGTTTCAACCCTGTTCCAGGCTGGTGGCACGTTGTTTCTAGCAAAAGACTCTTTAAAATGTTTGAGTGGATGGCCTAGAACGTCAGCCTACTTGGTGATAACAAAACCTGGCATGCCGTCTGGTCTGGGGCACTGCGAAGGTTCTAGTGATTTCAGGCATTTGAACACCTCTATTTCGTTGGACTTCGGGAGACTGTATTTTGTTGTACGTGCAGAACTAAATAAAATACCACTCTTGGGTTCACCTTTGAATGACTCGTTCAACATGTACACGCTGCCGCATGTTCCATTTCTGAGATTTGTCTTTTCGGTAAGATCATTAAAATGTCTGTATAAACTATAAGGGTTTTTACATGACGTTTTCTTCTAGCTATACATTAATTTTAAGCGTTTCATTTCAGACTTAATCAGGCAGTAAAGCCATTTAACACTAGCAGTTTCCTCCGATTTTCACAGATTTCATTTCTCTCCTTGAAGCCTGTTTAACTGCGGAGAAGATAGTCCATTAAACCTCAGAAAGGTTACTTCGGCTGGTTAGCAAACATAAGTGTAAAATTTAAGATAGCACATATCATCCAGAGCATCATTTTTGAATATTTCCCACTTTGCTTGCTGTAACGTGCATCGGAGTTTATGGATATTGTCACATGTAAAACTCCTACGCATAGTCTTCTTAACTTGATGCTTTAGAGTATTTCTGTGCACTTCTCCACATATTTTTGGCAGAACACGTAAAATATAGTGAAGAACGTGTCAAGTAGAGCTTCACTTCTTGAGACGTCTAGTTGGTATCTTCTCTGTTATGCGTTAAGCGAAAGCAACAACAGAATTCAAAGTTACGTAGGCTTGTTTATCTCCTAAGAGCGTGAAAAACCAGCAGGATATGTGCTGAATACTCCTAGATACATTCTGAAAATGAGCACTTGCATGCTTCGCAGTCCGCAGCTGCGACGCATCTGATCTTGCATGATCTTAGACGTTTCGGCTGTTTGTGGCTGTTTTCTTAAGCTTGAATAATCTCAGTTGTTTGTCTTTTGTTATGACTTAATGTGGGGGTTCATGAATTTACCTACCTTGACAGACTTGGACAACGAAAGAATGACAAGGTTCGTAGTATGAAATGATGTCACTCTACCCCACGAATACTCCTCAGATGCACGCAGCCTTACAGACCGTTGGTCGTTGGCGTGTAATGCATAGCTTAAAGCTGGGGAATAAATAACCAAGGTAGTCAAGTTCCCTCATTTAAGCCCAGGGCGACTATTCGGACTTGGGAAGTTTATCTGAATAGCAAGGCAAGGCGATTAATTTTAGAAGGGCTTCGAGCAAACTTTGCTTCTGGTTGACTCCGCAGTAAAAGCGTTCATCACAAGCCTTAATTTTTCATAATTTTAGGTTGTTGCTCACATTACGCGTCTATGGTCTTCGTTATCGGCGTAAAGTTAGGATTAAGTTCCCAGTCTCTGAGGGACACTGAGCTGCTTTCCGGTCTGTATCAGGGGGATTCGTTTTATGGCTTGACGGTTATTCCTTGTGTAACTGAAGTATTGGCGGGAAGCGTCCTCGGACATCAGTTCTTCGGCTGTAACACAGAAACCTGCACTCGATGTTAATTTGTGCCGGTGCAGGTTGTTCAGTGATGTTTTCGGTGGAACGGTGGGGCTTCCCTGTGGATACAATGAATGCAGGGCTTCAGAACACTAATAACGATTACCCAAGTCCAGAACAACAGTGGAGAACAACTCTTGGCTCTAAAAAACATTTATCCGTACCGCAGACCACACTGTCAACAACAAAAAGGCCCAGCATCCACTAAAGTGCTGGTAAAATATTGTGGCCACAATTTTATTCAATGCTTCCTACCACATTACTCTTAGACCTAGAGTGAGTTAACGGACACGAAACACGGCCACAAAACTATGGTTGGCAAACGGAAAAATAACTGCTACCGCCAGATATTTGAGTATTTTGCAATCTCTGAACGGCAGTGGCGGATGTTAACAAGTGGAAGGAGTTTTTCAGGGTATACTGTTATGGCAGAGTTTCTCTGTTTTCTTTCTGTGGAATGCTCGTTCGAAATATTACGGAATTCCGCTATTTTGTTGCTGAGTGACGCATAAATCTGTACTCGCTCACTGCAACTCTACCGATCGTATTGTAAGGCTACGGTGTTATTATCCAGTCTTCGCTGCTGGGGACCAAGACTTATGTAATGATCATTTCCTTGAGTTGCTCGATGCTTGTAACCAGCTGATATACGACACTGGTTATTACTGCATAGGCTTAGTATCTAGTGAGCGCCACGAATAATCAGAGTTATGGAACCGCAGAATATCTTGCACAAGAATACCATTAGGTTTCGAATCAATTAAAAACGGTTTAATTACCTAGTGTTCGCCAGTCAGAATTAAGCCGACTATGAATACTCTTATTCTTTTCAAATTCATTTTACCTAGGGAGCATCCCAGTGTGATGGATAGCAATTTTGTCTTCTGTGTGCTGGTTAAGGGTCACACACATAAGCCGTGTTTTAGCCACCTCTAGCAAGATAGGTTCTGGACATCAAAAAATAGTCTCTAACGTCATTTCGACAAATATATTGCTTTCTCAAGTAGTTTGGGCCAATTTCTTTAAGCCATTCCTGTTGTTTGTATTCACATACTAAGTATTTGACCTATAAGGACGGCATTCACCCGCACTAACTTGTACGTAACTGGCCGCTCGTTGGGTAATAACAACTCAGCCAGCCACTTGCAGGCTCTAAGACTTATAATAGGTGGATGTGCTGTCTTTATTAGCGATAACAAAATGGCCGGTCAGATATGAATTCATCAGCTACTGATTGCCGCCTGTCTTCATGGTGGCATCAAAAAAAGCTTAAGTTGGTTCCCGAAAAATGGCGAGAATTGATTTAAACACCCTTGACATGTAAGAATGAACTCAGCGACGGCATATGGAACGCGTGGTCGGTTTCAGCTTTAGCCCTAAACTTTTCTCACGCCATCATTTCACTTTTATTCCTGAAAACACGTCAAGAACCTAAGTCCCGCGCAACGTAATTTGTGCTCAGGGTTATTCGCAAACAAAACACGCGGAAATCTTCGGAGAAAAAAACATTCATTGAGTGAAACTGCATTAGCAAACGTTATCGAGACAGTGTATTAGGAGACAAAAACGAAATGG